CACGAATTCTGGAATTTCCAAAACTGTGTTTGAAGTTCAAACTTGATATTCAAAATCTCAAATCTTGGGTTTTTGGTACAAAAACATGGAGAATCACTATATAACATGAAAACACTTCCAATTGAAACCATTTATTCAAAATCATGGCAAATTCTCAACCATTAACTTCAATTTCAAGTTGTAAAATAATGTTTAATTCAAATTGGATGCATATCTCTTCAAAACATATTCAAAACATGATCAAGTGGCATGAGAAGCATGAAAACATGGAGAATCCTCCAAATTAAGGTATAAATGTGCCACTCATGTAGGATTTTCATGAATTCAAACTCAAATTATGCATGCATGTGTGTAATTCAACTCCAATTCATCCTATTCATAACAACTCATGCTCACCCTTTTCAAATTCAATCTAATGATCCTATAACTCCATGAACTTAGTTTCTACATGGTTCAATTCTAAGAATTTAGGATGAATCTCATACCTATTGTGTGAGTCCAAGTGTGTTATAGCTCCAACCCTTCAATCGTCCACAATTCTCTACAATCTCTTCTTTACCACTCTAAATGTTGAACTAAGCTCTCCTCTCTCTCAATTCTCAGCTGAGTGTGCATATAAAAATGAGTTCAAGAGCTTAGTTAGAGCCATATATAGGATGTGATTAAGTTAGCCTAATCAAATATGGTTAGGTTTAATGAATTGGGCTTAACTCTAACTAATTTAATCAGTTTATTCTAATTATTTTGATCCAAATCAAATTTCAATTGAAGTCACCATAAAATTCTAAATATTCCAATTAGCCTATTGGGCTAGTCAATTTTAGCTTCTGAAGTCAGGCTTTCAATTTCCGACTCTAAGTTATCGATTTAAACAGATATTCCATATATCAACAGATAATTATAGAATTAAACACAAAATTACACAATCAAGCACATAATCATGCAATTAAACTTATTTAAATTATATAATGTACTAGTTTGGAGGTCAGGGTTGTCACAGGTCTGATACATTGTGAGAGAAAATTTGGTTGCGTTTGGTAGAGCTTTCTAAATATGATTTGCGAGTATGAGTTGTATTTTGAGTTTGTGAGTTTTGGAATTATGATTTTAGTGTAGAAAATTTGTTTGGTTATGGTTTTTGAATAGAGTGTTGAATTGAGTTTTGATTTATATCTAGAATTGAGTTTTGAAAGTTTGATGTGACATATGAATTAAGAAAATTTGTTTGGTGATGAGTTTTCAAAACTTAATTCAACCTATAATTGATAATCAAACACACAACTCATAACTCGATATCCGTGTACAGTCATAACCAAACTATTTTTAAAATACTCAAATAAAAAAATGATTTTTTTTCAATTAATTGTTTTTAAGTAATTTTTTTGAATAATTTTTTTCTTCAAATAATTTTTTTTTCAAATAACTTTTATGTAAATTATTTTCTATCAATTCATTTTGTAGGCCTGTATAAACATTTTGTGCAATACGTTTTTAATATATTTCAAAAGTTTTGTTCAAACCAACACGTTTGGAGATTACATATTGATAAAAATTAACAAAAACCAATTTATTAAAAAAATTTAATTACAAACCAAAATGTAAACGTTTCCAAACATTATCAATATTTTTTCATTTGTTAAATTTTATTAATTTAATAAAAAATTCTTTACGTTGTACCCCTTTTTTAGCTTCATTATTGTCCCTCACTCCTATCTCACCCGTGAAGCTCATATTATTGGGGCCTATTGATTGATGTATTTGACTATAAAATGACTAACTTGGCCCTCTTTCATTGAATGTCAAATTGCTATGTAAGTATAAAATGAAAAGGATGACAGTATAATTTCACTCATGCAATAGACCCCCTTTTCTCCTCTGCTGGGTGTCAGTTGGTCACTGTTTGATAAAGGAAAAAAAAAAAAAAAAAAGAAGCCAAAACTGAGCCACAGATTGTCGGTGATCTATATACAAACGAAATGAAAAATAAATAAAAAGTGCTATAAGTCAGTATTCGATGAAAAAAAAAAAAACAACTTCTGAAACTGAGGCTTTATATAAGTCAGCATCATCATTTGTTGAACTACACCATCTTCATTCCAACCACTTCAGCAACTTCTTCACCATACAATATCATAAATTCAGTGTAGATTTCCGTGTAAAAGAAGAGACAAAGAGCTTTCATAAGAGGTTAGTTTGAACCACAGCTTCATATTCTTCATAGCTTCACAATTTCAGAGCTAAGCTGCACAAAGTCGAATGTTTCAGCAAACGGGACAATCGGCTGGTCATCCGGCCGGTCAACCAGTTTCAGTCCCAGCTTCCACCAATTTGCTTGCCTTTTGCACTCAGTTTGGCTATCTGTTGCTTGCCTTTTGCACCAACAACATAGGCTCAGTTTGGCTATCTGTTGTTGTTGTTGTTGTTGTTGTTGTTTTTGTTTGTTTTTTTTTTTTCACATAATTTTCATACAATTTGCTATACATCTTTCATACATTTTAAATATATTTTTTCTTAACTTTCACAGTCATCATGCCGAGAACAAAAAGAGCGAGACCTGAACGTGGCGAAACCTCTAACCCTTCACAACGTCAACAACAGCAACAACATCATCACTATGCAACTATTGATTTTCTCACATACAATCATGAACAAGCTTATTCAAATTTTGCCAATCGACCAATTATTACGGGGAGAAAGGTAAATCTACCTTCTCAATATGATCCACTATTGCTTAGCAGACTAGATACGATGGGATGGTTACCTTGAACTAATTTACCGCAAAAGGTATATCTCCGTCTTGTATATTTATTTTACCTTCAGTTGAGACCTACTGAGGGAGAAGTGGAACAATGTAGTCTGACCTCTTATGTGAAAGGTAAAGTAATCACACTAAACCCCCACACTTTCGCACAAATTATTGGAGTTCAAACAGGGGATTTGCAATGCCATTTTCAGACTGAGTCCCAGTTAGCTAACATTGTTGGTGATCTAACTGAGGTTTATACCACAATTTTTGAGAATCGATTTACTGGCACTAATTTACAAGTAAGACATTTAAAACCCCACCTTTGTATTCTTCATCGATGGATAGTTGAAATGTCACTCCCAAAAAAGGACATTTTGATGTTGTTCCATGTTTTAATGTTTATTTGTTATATTGTTTTGAAATTGGACAAACATTAGATTTATGCTACATATTACTGAAAGAAATGATGGTTGCAAATCTTGGTACTCTTAGTGACCGGTCACTACCTTTTGGAGCTTTGTTAACCAAAATTTTCAAAGCGCATCATGTCAACCTTGAAGGTGAAGTAGATGTGAAAATCACTTCACCAATTTCTGAGTATACACTGATCCGAGCTGGTGGTGCTGAAAACTCACTAGGCGCTATTAATTTTGCAAATGAACCAATACCTGATCCGGAAGACCCCAATGACAATGCCATGCCACCAAATCAACAACCCAAATACTGGACTGATTATTTAGCGTTGGAACAAGAACGGTACAATCAGCGCCTACAATGGGAACAACAAATGGCTAATCAGGTCAATATACTTGGTACTCGGCTTGATGAATTTACCGCCGCTCAGAACTCACTAATTCAACAATTTGGTGAGTTTCGTGTAGACTCTGGAAGACGTGATGAAGTGACAAGTAACCACATTGATCAGATTGACCATCGAGTCACTCAGGTGTACCATCACCGCTTCCCTCCACCTCCATTACCACCTGACAATGATGCTTAACTTGTTTCGATGAGCGATTAAATGGTTTACACATGCCGTGGTTATTTTGTTTTCTTATTTTGTTGTGATTATTTTGTTTTCTTATTTTGTTGTAATATTTTGTATTAACGTTATGAATAGTAATTTTTTGTGTGCACTCTAAAATTAACCAGTGACAATGATATAACAATTTGTGAGTTGTATTATGAACTGAAGATGCCATATGCATTTTTTTAAAAAGTGCATATTATACATCTCCCCTAACTGATGCACGAATGTTAACTACAATAACAATTACAACTTTCGTCTACAACATCATAAAAATTAATAGAACAATTAATTTGAAATTAAAATTAATAAAAAAAATTCGTATAAAAATTAATAAACAAAATTAATAGAACAATTAAAATTAATAACAAAACCATTATTTTAATAAAATGAAAAAAAAAAGTTAATAAAAACTTATTTCGTATACAAATTAATAAAAAAATTAAAATTAATAACAAAACCATTATTTATAACAAAACCATTATTTTAATAAAAAAATTTCGTATAAAAATTAATAGAACAATTAAAGTTGATAACAAAACCATTATTTGAATAAAATGAAAAAGAATTAATAAAAAAAGTTTCGTATAATAATTAATAGAACAATTAAAGTTGATAACAAAACCATTATTTGAATAAAATGAAAAAGAATTAATAAAAAAAGTTTAATATGAAAATTAATAGAACAATTAAAGTTGATAACAAAACCATTATTTGAATAAAATGAAAAAGAATTAATAAAAAAAGTTTCGTATAATAATTAATAGAACAATTAAAGTTGATAACAAAACCATTATTTTAATAAAATGGAAAAAAAATTTAATGAACATCATAAGCTGAATGAACATCATAAACTACAATTTATGCATGCATGATTCAACCATCAACCAAAAAAAGTGTTTGCCCCTGCATATTATACATTGCATCAACAATATATTAAGTGTCTTCATCTACGTAATTATATTTTGTTGATTGACCATGTGATGCTGTTTGGGAAACAAATTTGATTTGGGTTCCCTTTCCTTTAATTGCCATTTAGCCCAATCATTGTCCTCATTGTCAGTTATCCAACAAAAAGAGAAAAAAAAGTCATTAAATTCACAATTACAAAAAAACTGGGGGAAGTTATGTAATCAAGGTGTCATAATGATTGAAACTCGTAAAATAATTATACATTTTCAACCATTAATCACTACGAAATTCACTTACCTTGTTCACATCACAAATTTAGCCATGGCCAACATGATTTTGCCACATAACAGTAGCAATTGCATCTCTAAGGTTCAATTGGTACGTCAACCCATGTTGTGACATGTCAACATAGTCAGCTTGCTCTCCAACAAACCCGTCTGCTTCTGCTTCTGCTTCTGCTGCCATTTCATTATCAGCTTCCATGAAGAATGGGTCCATATCTGCATGCAAACGGATCCAATTGTGCAGTATACAACATGCAATCACGAGAGGGCCTTGTTTTGTAGACTTGTAATTTGGCATGGACAGCAATATTGGGAATCGCTTCTTCAAAACACCAAATGTTCTTTCTGTGACATTGCGTAACGATGAATGTCGACGGTTAAACAATTCCTTGGGTCCAGAATAATGACGATCATGAAACTCTTCCAAGTGATAGCGTTGGGAATGAAATAGGGCAAGAAATCCAGGCATGTTCGTGAAACCAGCATCTACTAAATAATATTTGCCTACATGTAAATAATGAATGCACTGCTCAGTCAAATAGATGTACAAAAAAATAATTTCAAAAAATGTACAGTGTGTTATTTGGTGACACTCACCATGGGGTGGGTGTGGGAACTGTAGATCAGCTCTTGTAATAGAGTCAACTAAAATAGCGTTGTCGTGAGGGCTACCTTCCCATCCAGAATTAATAAATGTGAACAACATGTGGAAGTCGCAAGCTGCGAGTACATTTTGCAATACCGTAGATTTGCGACCGCGAAATGTATTTTGTCTTGAAGCAGGGACCCATGCATCCACCAATGTGCCATCGATAGCACAGACACAATCCTACTTGAAAGATATTTGTTTGACATTAAAAGTGAAACAAACGTGGATATTACTTTTATAACATGAAAAAAAAAATATCATTCCTTATTGGTGTTGAAAACTTACAAGACAAACATATAGTCATACCTTGAATCAAGGAAAAAACCTCCTGTCATTTAAATTTTTTGTCGGTATCTTGTCTTTGGTTACATGGTTTGATAACCGTCGATGCGATGCAAGCTTACACAGTGCCCGTATAACAATTTTGATGTGCCGACAAATAGTTTCTGTGGAGTGTTGAAATCTATTGGCCAGTAGTCGATGGCGGTCATTTTGTGCGAAAGTGTATAAAAAAAATTCCAAGCGATTCCTCAACACTGATTTGCATATGTTCAATATCGATAAAGCCATTTTGAAGTAAGGTATCTTTCAATAAAATGAATGTTTGTGCATCCATTCGCATAATGTCCATCATTGTTTCTGGATGGCCATTGAATAAACTGAAGATGTAATCATCACCTTTAAATGGACAAGTTCGTTATGGTTGTCTCCTACTTGACACATTCATATGGTCATGCATAAAAGCAATCATAAAAAAATCCATAAAATCTTCAATAACCTCATCTTCCTTTGATGAGATCTCCATTGTATTGTTTTCTATGTCGGATGACATATTGTTTCGTCTACATCACAGTAAAAGCATAATTATAAAATAATGTTTGACAGCATGCTAACTGTTACCATTATTGGTGAAACTGAATTAACAAGTGGCTACATTTAGTTGGCCTTAGTCATTTACTAGCATCCACTAAAATATATACGCGAAGAAAATTTTTTTAATATGTATTTATCTTGTCATAAGAATACGGACATGAAAGAATGCAGAACAATAACACAACATATTGATGTAACACAAAAACTACTTAAGAATTCAATAAAAATAAACATACGAAGATGGATAAAAAAGAGCATATCATGGGATGAAAAAAAATGATAGAAAACAAATCAGGAATCATCAAATCATTTTGCACAATGACAAAGAGAATCACTAACTCAATCAAAACATAACTTCTCACTTTACTGCAAAGCTAGGATCATAGCTAGGCGCATATGGGTAGGAGTACGGATAAAAAACCTTCGCCATTCCTTGTCTTTAAATAGTGTCAGTGCCCTAATGTATTGGATTGGTGGTATGTCCCCAAGCTCTAGCAATGCATCTTGACATGCATCAAGGGAATACTCATCACCACTTGCACTTACAGCCTCTGTGTCAGTTGATCGTGCATGTGAATGTTCTATTTTTGCTTGTATGTAGGTAGTGAAAGCTGCACACACATCATTGAACCCACTTGACCGTGACTTTTTAAAACGACCATTGTTACTTTGGTTGCTTGTAGGGCCCCTCTTGTGACTTTTGCCCTTCGCTGGATCCATGTATTCATCGCCGAATAAGTCAACAAGAATGGTTTCAGCAGCATTACTCCCCCCAGCTTCAGGGCTCCAAAATTTGTTAAGAATTTCGTCTTCTTCATCTGAGTCAAGGGCTCCTTGTGTGGATATACGAGACAAGGCCCCTGTGGCCCAACAATTTTCAACAATATCTGCCATTTCTTGAAAATACTCAAATCCTTTTGTCCTAAACTTCTTTACATTTTTGTAGCCTACAGCAATTGAAAATATTGAAAATAAGCATACTGTACGTGTGATGAAATGTTACAAAAAAAATTGAAAATGGTACAGGTTAATGAAAAACCTTATCCCAAAATTCATCGGGTGCAACAACAGTTCTTACAATGGGATCCCATCCCAGACCAGTCTGTGCTTGTAGTCGCTTAAACGTTTGGTAATCAGTGTTCAATTGCTGATATTTTTGTCGCACCTGCTTTGATGTATACCGAAATCCATATAGATTTTGCAACTGATTTGCAAAATGATTCCAATGCCTAATTGTCCACATAGTACTACAGCCTGTTGTTTGATTTTTTTTAACCTTTTCTCTCAACATGTTTATTAATTTCATTTCAATTTTGGGAGTCCACATTCTTGTATCCTGGTTGTCATCTAAATTGTTTCCATCCATCTAAAAACACACAATTTATATTTAAACTACTCCAGAGTGGATATAAAAAAATAACAGAGCAAAAATCAACTACAATTATTTATGTTTAAGTACGAATCAAAATTAATGTTTATTTGAACTTGTTAAATAATGTTAGGAAAAGCAGATTAATTGAAGGGCAAAACACATACAAAATAAAAATCAGATAATATTGTCTGTAAAAAGTTTGTGAAACAAGTGTACATAGTAAAAAATAACCAGAAATAAGCAGAAGAAGAAGACCAGAAGAAGAAATAAGCAGAAGAAGAAGAGCAAAAGAAGAGAAGCATGAAAGGGCGGCTAGGAGAGCACGGCGGTCGACCTACCGGTCAATCGACCGGATGACCCGGGGGACGACTGGCTAGTTGTCCTGGCAGTTGACTGGCTCAGCTTAAACCGTTCAAACCGATTAGAAAACCATCTCTATCATCATGTCAACTTCTCAGAAACCATTTCAGAACTCATTTCTACATACCAGATGGATTGAAGGATATACGTACTAGATCAGTGAGAGTTGAATAGTTGTCACCGGTGATATAGTGGGTACAGTGAGTGAATGTGCGCTTCTTTGGTAGTCGTCTGATTTGAGAATAGGTTTGACAAATTTGACCCATGACAAAAAAATTTGGAATAAAATTAGGGATGTTTCAAAAAATCAGTGAGCTGTAAAAAAATATTTGGAAGAAATTTGTGATTTATTTGACCTCGGTGTCGTCGTTGTTTGGTTGCCTGGAGAATGAATCTTCCACAATGCAGAAATTGTAACTCACTTGATTTGTGGGAGATGGTATGGGTAGGAAGGGGGTTCACAAACATAGTTTATAAATGGTCTCAGTTCACAGGAACGAACACTACCCATGACGAATCATCAGCCGTGATATTTCAAACAGAGGAAGACGAGTAGATCAGTTCAGCTTTAAATTTCTTTTTGGACGTGAACCTTTTCAGAAATGAAGAACATGGAAGGCTTTTCAAAAATGAAGAAGACTGAAGACGTCAGAAGCTTTTGACAATGGAGAAATAAAGAAGAAAGCTGCCAAACGGGAAGTTGAAATGTATTTTGAATGATATGGTGGAAATATATTTTCAAAATCATATCCAAACGTGAAGCACGAATGATAGGGTGGAAATGTAATTTGAAAATACAACCAAACTGAGCCTTTGGGTTTTTTTCTTTTTTTTTGGGCAGTGTTTTCAAGTGATGCATGTCTCCATCACTCAAATAAAAAAGTGTTTTTTAATTTTTTAATTTTTTAGGGTTTTTGTACCCGTGATGTGTATTGTACTGATACGGTATTTTAATTTTTGTTTTGTACCATTGACTTTTGTGAATAGTGTTAACTTTTTTATTTTTTTAGTAATTTTTTGACTTTTTGTCTTTTATAATATATTCCAAATAATACTTAGTGTGTAGATTGAGAAAATTAATTAATAATTAAAATATAAAGTGTGCATATTGAGAAATTATGTGAATTGAGATAAGTAGTGTGTGGAAATATAATTGATCATTTTCTTATTTTTGTTTTTAGTAAATTTTTTAATTTTTTTTTTAAATCTTTCTAGATTCAATTCTAAGAGACGAATTGAAAAATTAAAAGTTTAAAATTTTCAAAAAAAAAAAAATAGAAGAAAGTAAGCTTTCTTTTTTTGTTTATTTTTATTTTATTTTTAATTTTTTGAATTTATTTACATAAAATGGAGTTAAAAAAATAAAATTTTTAACATAGTTAACAAAAAGTCACTAAGGCTTGGTTTGGCATTTTCAAAAAAAGACAAAAAATTAAAAAATTACTAAAAAAGTTAAAAAGTTATCACTACTCACCAAAAAAAAATTATTTTTATACAAAAAAAGTACAACTCACTCTGACATGAGTTGCCTTTACCTGACTTCGGTGAGAACAAATTAAATAGGCGAAGGCAAGCTTAAGGACGGTGCTATTCGGCTCGTGGGGACCATCACAAGTCCCGTTTTGATAATTTGAACCGTCAATACGTACAACTCGTCGAGTATTATATGTTTGTAAAAAATCATGTTGATCGGATATTATTAACTACATGATCATATCAGTTTTGTATAAGAAAAATGGATGGTGTTATAGTTAACGGTTGACAAAAAACTAATCCGATCAGTTAGCTATCAATATTCGATCAACATGATTTTTTTACAAGCGTATAGTACTTGACAAGTTCTACACATTGAATGGTTCCGATTATCAAAACGAGACCCGTGGTGGGCCCCCACAGGCAGAACATTGTCGTCCATTTCAATGCCCGAAAAAGAGGCAAGCATATCTTATACACTAGTCTGCCCACTACTCTGCCCACCGTACTGCCTATTCTTCCCTCCATTCTCCTATACACTAAATTAAACAATTTTTTAATATACATTTTTTCGTAAAAGGTCAAAAATTTATCCGAAACAATTATATTTTTTTCTCAACTTTTTAGTTCAAAAAGTCAAAAAGTGCACTTATTTAGGACATCTCAAACAACCCTAAAAATAAGCATACAAAAAAAAATGATTAGCATACATTAATAAGTGCGCATCTAGGTTACATCAATCAACATCCACTCTTTATTTTTGTATATTTTTTTATAAAAAATTAAATAATATATTTATTTAGAACATTGCAAACCACTCTTAAAAATAAAAAAATAAAAAAAGAAACGATTTTTTAGGTATTCCCTAACACGGTTGATCTCATTGCGTTGTAGTAGCTTTCATCACACGCGTCTCCTCTCTCTGTTCAGTCTCCAAAACTTCCCTGTTTTCGGCGATTCTCATCTCTCGTCTTCGAGATTGACAAGGCTAGAACAGTACATGAATTAGAAAGAGAAAAGATACGGATCATGAAAAAATTTTCATGAAACTGATCATGAAAAATTTATGGCTCTTGGATTACCTTGATTAGTGTGTGGTGTTTTATTTTAAGTGTAATCCAAGGATCATAAATCTTTCATGATCATTTTCATGAAAGTTTTTTCATGATACCTAGCATTGCTCAATTAGAAATTATATTATTCTTTGATGATGATTATGTTGATTCTATTTGCCTATTCTTTTATTTTTTTCAAGTAATGCAAACAAATGGAAATATGTAAGAACGTGGGTTCCTTAAAAAAAAAAGGTTAGTGAAGTCAACAATCCTCCATAATCCAGGCATGTGGTGTTGTGAATAGTGTTTTTTATGATTTGTAAATTTTCTCCCCTAGTGGATTTGAAGGAAAGAAGGTTGCTCTATAATGCTTAGTTTTGAGCTATTGTTGCCATGAATTACAGGGCATACTAGACATGGTCACTGTGGATCACATTTGGGTTGGAATATGAAGGGGAGGTCAGATGGTTGCAGTAGTGAGACTGGTGGCAGTCGTGGCGGTGGAGCAGATGGGGGTTTGTGAGGGGATCACAATTGTTGTTGTGGACCAAGGGATGGTGGTCATGGTAAACAAGTGGTAAGCTTAGGGATGACTGGGGGAGGATAGTGGTAGCCGCTGTTGGTGGAGAAAAGGGCCAGCGAGCCTTTTCATGTGTCTGATTTAATATACTGTTTATTACCTTTGTTTTGTGCGATTTTTTGTTTTTTTTTTTATCTTTTGAAGGCATGGTGACCCTCCCTTTTTCTTTTAAATAAATTTCTTTAACATGTTCTTCCTTTCATGTCGTCTTCTCCTATGTAGACCAGTTTATTGTATGAGAAAAGAAGATTTATTGCCTACTCTGCATTTCTCTGGCTTAAGGTTTGTTTTTTTGGCTTCTTAGACATGGGATTCTGCTTTATAGATATATATCTTTTAAACATGTTCTTCATTTCACATCCTCTTCTCTTGTGCAGATCACTCCATTGCATAAACAAGACAAGTCTGCTCTGCATTTCTTTGGTTGAAGGTATATTTGTTGTGATTGTTTGTTTTGTTAGCTTACTCGTTTAGTATGTAACCTGGTCATAGAAAAATAATTAATCAAATTTTTTATTTATTTATATTAAAGGAAAGAATATGTAGGTTTTAAATTAGATTTTTTTGGGCTTTACCCAGTAAACTGGTCCTGAGTGTTGTGCCTGCATGGCTGCACATATAAATAAAAGTTTCTCACAATCAGATTTTCGTCTTTATGGGTATTTTGTCCTTGAAAAAAGTGAAAATTCTTTGTATCTATCATGTCTCATACAATCATATTGCTGTGTTCATTATGTCGAAGCATAATAGTTGAGGCAGTTATCTCTTTAAAATGCTGTTCATCTCTTTTGTTGGTAACAAAATACAGGCCAAATGTTTATTTGTCAGTGTGTTGTCCAAGTATTCGCTTCATTTGGTGTTTGTCATTGAGAGGGAGATTTGCGCCGGGCTATGGCACCGAATCGAATCGGCACGACTTCTCGGGCTATCACGTGTGGCTGAGCTATGTCGCTGACCAGAGTGCGAAGACATGCATATGCCCAACTAAGCTGTGACTCGGCCAGGTATCCGGTTGGATCCGCAATGGTGTGTCTGAACCGAGCCAAGCACAGCTCGGAATGAATTTAGACCGGGACGAAGGCCGGCACGCCTCACGGCCAGTCAGTTCCGATGAACCGACTTCTTACAGCTCGGCCGTACCGATCATGGTAGTGTTTCTTCCCAAGGGATAGGTCGGTCATGATATCCCGGTTGAGTGCGCCACCTGGACCAATGGTGTGATGGAGGGGAAATCCACTCCTGGCACGCGTCAATACCATTTGGCAGTTCCACACATGCTGTTTGGAGGTTTTGGCCTTCACACGCATAAGGAAGATAGAGGGGAGTATTACCACCTGTCCAAGGAAGGGCAGTAGAGGTAGTGCGCCCACAATCTCTGAGGCTGCATGGCCAGCCTAGAAAAA